TTAACAGAGATAAAGTATAAGCTCTGTGTGTGTATGTGTGTGTATGTGTGAATACTGTAGATTACCTGTACAAAAGGAGGAAACAGATGAGAAGCTGAGGAAGGAGATTATAAACATGGCATGGAGTTATGACATAGTAGTGATGAGAAACTTTCCTCTCTCTATGTTTCTGTCCCTCTAAACAAAGTAGCTAATACATTCTCAATTTGCTTTAACAATAATTTCACCCTGTAAAAGATAGAGGAAACAATGAAGGGAACCATCATTATCAACCTAATTCTGACCAATATGGAAGAACTGGTAATTGAAGTAGAAATGATGAGGATGTTGGGAAAAAGTGACTAGTCCATCTTAGTATCCATGTATACCTCTTACATTTTGCAAGAGAGGATTTCAGAGGGTTCAAAGATAGGATAAAAGTCTACAGCCAAAACTTCTAGTGGGGAAATGAGACCAAGAAAGATGGAAAGCTCAAATGGATGAAATTCCATAAATGCAATGACAAAAAAATCTGAATTAAGGAAAATGAGAATTATATGAAGATGAAAAATTAGAATCATCTAGGAAGTTAATGTGGATGTACAAGGAACTCATCTGCCAATGAATTTTTTCTTTTTAACTTGCAGAAGATGGAAGCATACTAGGCAACAGAGAATGAAGGACAGGTAACAAAAGAATGAAATGGTCCTACAGGAATAGTATCAAAAGCCCTAGAGCTGAGAAGGAGCTCAGAAGTTAATGATTTTTTTTTAAAAGCATTCTTTCATTACATTGAGAAAAGAGATAGATCAAAATGTTTGACTCTTGTTGGGGGCTGATGGGATAGTATAGTGTAAGAGGTATTTGATTTGGTGTTAGAGGATGTATATCCAGTTCCCAGCTTGGTTACATACATGTGCACCACTGGTTGTCATTTTTTCACTCTGAGCCTCGGTTTTCTCATTTGTAAAACAAAGGAGTCCCATTAGATTATCTCTAATGTCCTCTCCAACTATAAACCCTCAGAGGATGATGATGATGTGTGGTTGAGTCATTTTTCAGTCGTGTCCAACTCTTTGTGACCCCATTTGGGGCTTTCTTGGCAACGGTACTGGAGTGGGTCACCATTTCCTTCTCCAGCTCATTTCACAGATGAGGAATTAAGGCAAACATGGTTAAGTGACTTGCCTATGGTCACACAACTAGTAAGTGTCTGATGCTGGATTTGAACTCGTGAAGATTCTTCCTGACTCCAGGCCTAGCACTCTATCTACTGTGCCACTTAGCTGCCCCTGATGATGATGATGATGTTAATCAGTCACAATTACATAGCACTTTAAGGTTTACCTGGTGCACGACTAACAACCACCCTGTGAGATAGCTAATGTATTCTCATTTGCCACTTTTTTAGAAGGGTTAACTGACTTGCTAGTAGGTACCTGAGATTAGACTCAAACCCTGGTCTGCTGACTCCATTTTTGACCTTCTGCTATGCTGCCTCTTCATGAAAGCCCAAAAGAAAGTGAAGGGAAGGCAGACATACTTAATAAACTTTGCTACTTTCTTTGGGTCCATCAAGAAGAATGATCCTGGGACCAGAAAAAATGAATAAATATAACAAAGGTATTTGAACCTCAGTCTAAGTAGGCAGGCAGTAAGAAAGCTGTTCCTGAGAAGTCTGAATCACCAGGGTAGAACTGCATCCCAAGCTAATGATAGTTATTTAATATGATTGCTGGGCTGCTGAGCGATTATTGGAAGACTGTGGAGAACACAAAATGGGCTAAAGAACTGATAATGGGGAAATGTGGTCATGATTTTCAAAATAGGAGACAGAAGAAAGTTTAAAAACTAGAGTCCAGAGGAACTAACTTTGATTCTTAGCAAAATCTTAGGACATAATTTAAAGGGATAATTTGTGAACCTCAAAAAGGGAAGCTGTGATCATGAAAAACAAGATAGCTTTGTCAAAAACAATTTATGCCAGACAAATCCCATTTACATTTTTTTAGGGTTACTATATTGATAGAAGGTAATAATGCAGATACAGAATTTAGTAAAAAAGATTTGGCACAAATACTTTATCCCTTCCTTGGGGACAAGATGGCCAGATGACAAGACAGAATCAGAACTGTTTGAAAAATGAGACTTAAAGAGTAGTCATTGATGGGTTAATGTCTTCTCAGAGAAAGGTCTCAGATGGAGTGCCACATGGATCTGTCCTTGGTCCTATAACAGTAATGGTTTTTATTGATGATTCAGCAAACATAGACCAAACAAACCTTGCATGGGGGTGGGGGAAAGGGTAGCTAACACTTGGGGGACAGAGTCATGTTCCAAAAATATTTCAGTATGTCTATATTGTCGTGAGAGATCTAATTAGATTACTTTGGATAAAGATAAATGTAAAATCCTATACTTGAATTCAAACAATCAACTTCATGAGTGTAAGATCAGCTAGGTGTAGCCAAGCCATATGGAAAAAAAAAATCAGGTGACTCCATTGAATCACCTGTTCCATACAGCAGCCAAAAAAAACCATGAGTATACCTGAGACTGCTTTAAGGGAAGCACAGTGTCTATAAGCAGGCAGGTAACAGCCCTACTGTATTATTGTCCCTGGTTAGACCGAATTCCAAGTATTGTGTTTAGTTCTTGGCACTGTTTTAGGAAGGATATTGATAAGCTAGAGACTGTTCAAAGGAATGCATCCAGAATGGTGAAAGGGCTTAGTAGTGTGCCATATGAAGACTGCAGTTACATAACCAAGTGACGTGAAGATTTGGGTGAGCAGGATAGTTGCTCTTAACTGTTTGAAGGGCTGCTATGTAGAAGGAGTAATTAAATGTGTTGTACTTGACCCCAGGGGGTAGAAATTGTGGCAAAGAGTAGAAGTTGCAGAGGAGAAAAAGTGATACGGGGATAAGTGCCTCTGGAGACAGTGAGATCCCCAGTCATTAAAATTCTTCTGGTGATGGCTGAAGGATCACTTGTTGTGACTGAAAAAGAAGAAATTTTCAATCAGGCACAGTTTGGACTGGATTGCTCTTAAGATCCTTTCCAACTCTGAGATTCAGTGCATCTAGATAATCAGGGTAGTTCGCTGTCCAATTTTGGAAGAAGAGAAGCCACTGGGGTAAAGGCATACATCTCCTATGTGGCAATCAGGGCACATTAAAGGTCATCTTTCTACACTTATTTAATTTTACCCAGGCTAAGTCTAGAGGCAATGTGGGTCAATGAAAAGAACATGATTTTGGAGAAGGAAGACCTAATAGAATGTAAATTCCTTAAGGACAGGGACTGCCTTATCTTCTTTGCATCTCTAAGTACCTAGTCCATTAAAAATATTTGTTATACTGAATTGCTAAATTGACCTGGATTTAAATCCTGTCTTTGTCACTTACTATCTGTCTGATCTTGGGCAAATCTCTCAGATTTTTCTTTCTTATTTATAAAATGAGAAGAAAAAGAGCAGAACGGTCAAATAAATTCTTTTGAATGAACTAACCAGCTACTCCAATAGTCCCCAATTAGTAAAAAATAAAGGTGTATTTGAAACAAAAGAGAGAGAGTATGATACAGTTGAATGAAAGCTGGATCTGGAGTCAGAGAACCTAAGTTTGACTCCTGCCTATGTGATCTTGGGAAAGTCATTTCATATTAATGGGCCTCAGTTTCCTAGCATTCAGGGTACTAGACTACATAACTTCTAAGGTCCTTTCCACTTCTAAATCTGTAATACTGAAGTAACCAAAAACGTATTGGCAGTAAATTCAGTTAATTTCATTTTATAAGAGGTTATATTCCTGAAGTCTCTTAAAACTGATTAACCTTTCCTACTTTGAATATTAATACATTCAATTTACTTATATCCAAAATTTAAAAAAAAAGACTCGAGAAAGATGCAAAGAATAAGTTTTCTAACTAGTACAGTAAAATTTATTTGTCTTTATGATTTACACAATAAAATTAAAGACATAAGAACAAATACCATCAAGATGGCTATGTGATGTTTAGGAAAACAACTGGTCCCAATTCAATTGCACATATGCTCATTCTGCTTAGAATTGAATTTTTGCTTGACTGTTTTAATAATTTTTGCAGTCTCCAGGATATGCATAGTTGAATATAAACTGTCTTTCTGTTTCATTATCATCAGGTACAGAATGCTTACCAATTCCCAAAAAATAATGAATAACAAAAAAAAAGTCCTTAGACAATGGACCACATTTTCACAGAAATAAATGTGATGAGCTCACGGTAATGTGATACATTTCAGCTTCCAGATATACAAATGGAACAATATTAACATATTAAATGTATGATTAATTTTTGCTTTCTTTTTATTATTTACCATATACTAATTTTTGTACAAACTATCCATTGATTTCTTTGGTTTTGAAATTCATGTCCTTTTATAGCCTTACCTGACCCAAATACAATGTTCTACTTGTACCAAACACCAAAATAAGTAAAAAAAAAAAACCCAAGCAAATAAAAACATGAAAACTCAGTGGCCACAAGGTAGAAATGGAATTTTCTTTTCCACGTTAAAAAGAAGCTGGCCTAATTAGGCAGTCATACCTGGGGTACTGCAGCTATTACCGCTTCCTTTAAGTAGAAAAATTCTTGGGAAACAAGTACTACCACAATTTTCAAGTGATTGTACCACTTATCTCCCTGTTTTGTTATGGAGTAATTTAGTAGTAATTTATCAGCTGCTCATCAGGCTCTGCCTTCACCAAAAACATCCAATCTTCTCTTTGAAAACAAACAAAAGCAAAATGGCATAAATAAATAAGTTTACCTAAGGGGATATAATAAATAGGCTAATAGATGGGAATAGGAAATATTGTGACATAAAGCTGGGCAATGTTGCACAAATGAACAATAGCTTTGGGTCTTTAAGTTCCCATAAGTATAATTTTAATTGTACAACAAAGATTGAGTACTGATATGATGTAACTGACGGGCTTTTAGAAAAATAATAATGAAAATTTCTGTTGCTTTCATTGTTCAAAAATAAAATTACTGTGCTTGCACTGGTAAATTTAAGCCCTCTATTTTAACTTCAGAATTTCAACACTGTTGGGTTGTGAAGCACAAATCTCATGGATTAAAAATAACAGAAATAATCATAACACTATGATTCCTTCAACTATTCATGGTTTACTGGCATCTAGACTAACTACACATACTGTCTGAGAAGATATTAAGCTCAAAAGTTTTGCTGTCTTCGTTTTTTTGCATCCATTGCATCCAGAATTGGTTGTCTTTTTGCATTATAACTTTGACGAAGCTCTTCAATTTCTCTTTCCATCATTGGGTCCAGTGCCTTTAACCGCATTTGTAATTCTTCTAAACTCAGGTTTTTCAACTGGAGGTAGAAAAAAATAAAAATATTTAGTAAATTATCCCCAATGCATGCAGAAACTTTAACACAATTATTTCAGCAAAATGTTTACTACAAAATATTTGAAATACGGTTCAAAGTCTAATCCAAAGGCATTTAATTAAAGGTGTTTCATCATATAAAAAGTAAGTCTTGCAAATATAGTAAAACAATATTCAACAAATAAAAGATTTCAGTCAAATGAAAATTTTTCTGCTCTCTCCTGCTAATCATTGCAAGAGATTAGGCTGACACTAGGGATTTAATAAGAAAATAAAAATGATACAAAACACTCTAGGCTGTGTCTTAGAGCAAATATTTAGCTCAATCTCCTACTTCTAGAAGTTGAGTAGCTCCTTTCTTTAAAAGGCAAAGCTACTCAACTCCTATTTTTCCATCAATGACAATGCTTTTCTGAATGCAAAGTATAGAAGAAAAATGGTTAACATGGAATTGAAAACCAAGAAAAAAAACATTATCTACTAGTTAGTTGGCCTGGCATAACTTCATCCTAAAGGGCTAACGGAACCTGTGGATGTGATTGTTATACCTTTTCTAGGGATACCTGGTACTGCTGAAGGATAACTGAGGTACCAGGGATGAACTGCAGACAGGGAAGTGTAGCTACCACCATCACAAAGCGAAAGAATGTGCTTTTTTAAAACCATAGGTCAGGGGCATGGATTCTGAGTCTTGATAAATTCTTAATTTGTCGTTACAAGAAATTAAGTTGAAAGAAAAAGAAGTCACTACCTGACAACACAGTTTTGTTAAGAACAAGCCTCATTTATTTTTTGACAAGATCAAAGATATGAATAGAGCATGAGAGGCTTTAAGCCAGGCCCCTGACAACCTCTTTCCATTTATCATTTGAATAATAGAGCTTGTTTATAATTAATTATCACAATTAATTAATTGTCAATTATAATTTTGTAATAATTATTTATAATTAAATGGTAATAGCTTATTACATATTAACCTCTACTACGTTAAAGTAGTCAGGCGGTTTTCAAATGAGGGGACTGATTAAATCCAAAGAGTGTTCATTAATATACTTATGTCAGCCTAGAGGGAAATTGCTAGCAAAGGGTTACCAGTCTCTGTCTTGGTGCTCTTATATTCAACATCTTTAACAACAACTTGGGAGAGCAAATAAGTTTTTGGATGACACTAGAGAGTGGGACATCCCAGTTTGGATCACAGAATCAGTATTTTTTAAAAAAGATCTTGATAATGTTGACTACTAGGAGAATGTTAACAAGATTAAATTTAATTCAGATAAATTTAAAGTTTTTTGAACTTGGATTAAAAAAAATTAACCACACACATAAGTTAGGAGAGACATGGTCAGAAACCAGGTCATGGGAAAAAGATGTAGGTGTTCTAATGGAACTAATACAAACTCATATGGAACAGCAAGAAAAGCTGAATGAGATCTTAAAATGCATTACAGTAAGTATAACATCCAGAATGACTAGCCATAACACATCTGTTATAGTGTGCCCAGTTCTAGGCACTGTATTTTATTTTATTTTTGCATCAACTTTTTTGATGAAGAGTTTTTTAAAAAATAAAATATTTATTTTCAATTATGTCTCTTCCCTTCTTCCCCCAAACAAGTCTTTTCTTGTAACACAGATTTAAAAAGAGTAAGAAAAAGAAAAATTCAGTAACAACAAACAACAAATCAGTTGTACCTGACAATAACAAGCAATATTCCATACATATAGCTCCTCACCTCCGAAATGAAGCAAGATAGTGCAGTATCACATTTTAAAAGGGACACTGACAACCTATAGGGTACATATAGCAGAAGGTAATCAAGATGGTGAGGAGATAATTATACATTAGGACCAGCTGAAGAAACCAAGGGTGTTTAGTTTGAAGAAGACAAATCTTAGAAGGAAAATGATTGCTATCTTTGAATTAATTTAAACAATTCAAAATTGGAGAGGACCCACAAGATGACATACTAGCATGAAGTATAGCTGAGCTCTTCCCAACAACTATTCCACAAAGATCTAGAAACTGCATGGGGCAGAGTACTGACTGGGAAATGGAAGCAAAAACCACAGGTAAAAAGAGGCAGACAGCATGGTCTACAGACCCTGGGCGCAAGGTCTAGACTAGAGCTTGCTGTGCAGAGTCTTCTGGTGCCATGATGGACCTGGGAGAGGCCTGCCTTTTGGTCATAGGCCCTAGGGTGTATTGAGTGAAGAGCAAGCACAGGAGTAGGGAGAGGTTTTGTGGTTGGGAGTGGAGTGGGGTCTCAGGATGTACCAAAATAACCAAGGCAGGAACCCAGACCAAAGGGAAGCTTATAGTTTTGCTACTTTGAAGCTGGCCTCTCAAACGCTATGTCAGGAGAGAGAAAGCTCTAAAAGATCATACCAACCTGGCAGACTGAAGAGGGCAGAGTAGCAGGAAGACATACAATGAGTGCCTGCTCCCTGTCCCCCACCCCTCAACCAAATTTCTCTAAATAGATCTAGAAAATGCAACAGATTAAATCCTGATCAGTTAACACATGAGGGGGAAAAAAAAGCACAGTAAGTCATATTTCCAACCCAAGTTTGGCAAAAGGAGATGGAGAATTTGGAGGACGTGTTTTGGCCAGCAGCTCTCAGCATGCTAGCACATGGAAAGATTGCATTCGTGCATAAAGAGGTCTTTGATGCAGCTTAGAGGGATGAATCGTGTGTAGGGTTCAGGAATAAGTGTCAACTAGCAGCTGTGTTCACTACCCAGTTCTGGGTGAGAGATCCAGGACAGACTGAGGAAGGGAATTGTGCTTAGAGGTGGCATTCCAGGGTGAGGAACAGTCATGTGTCCTAGACTATGTACTGAACAGGAGCAAGTTCAGAAGCAAGCAGCAGCTATGTGGGTCAGGTACCAGGAGTGGAATAGGGTCTCAGATCCAGCTTCCAGCCCAGTTAAAAGCCTATACAAGAAATAACCAAGGCAATGATCCCAGACCAAACCTACAGTTCTGTCACTCTAACCAGCAGAGTTTTCCATCTGGTTGATAGTGGACAAGTCTAGCAGAAGTCTAATGGAATGCCAACCAGGGGCAAAACAACAGGTGTGTTGCTCAGACCCAAACCCAAGTAAGGAACTTGTACAGCTCAGTGATCAGATTTTTTTCATGGATCAAACTGCTTTGGGAGCACTGGAAGTTGACAGGCAAGCCTGAGCTGTCCATGAGACACTAGATAACACAATACTTAATACCCTGAGAAAGTGGCAGCAGGACCAAAAAGGACATAAGCATGGCCCAGAAGTGCACAAAGTCTGGCTCAAACATAAATTCTGAAGTCAAGAAGTAGGCTGGAACAATGAATTGAAATATTTTTTACATGTTTTTATAAATTAAAGGAGAGAGCTAGAGGATAAATTGGAATAGAAGTAAGTACTATGGAAAAAAGAATTGGAAAGTGAATTAAAAGCTTGGCATCTTACACAATCAAGAGACTCCTTGAAAATTAGAATGAGATCCAAGATAATTCCAAAGGACTTATGAGGAAAAACTTTATCTACCTCCAGAGAAAGAATCTGATGGAGTCTGAATGCAATTCAAAGCATTTAAAAAAATTTTTGTTTGCCTTTTTTTGTCTGTTTTTTCTTTCACAACATGAAAAACATGGAAATATGTTTGCTTGCCTTCTTATTGAGCGGGGAAAGGAGGGAGGAAGAGAGTTTGGAACTCAAAATTTTAAAATACTAATACTAAAAATAATTTTTACATGTAATTAGAATAAAATGTTTGAACATTAAAAAAATAAGTATAGTTAAAATAATTTTTCACATTGTCTATGTCCTAAAAAAATTAGAATGGGCCAAATCAAGGTTAATAACTCTATGAGATAAGAAATATTTTTAAAAAGTAAAATGGCTGAAAAAAATAGAAGAAAATGTAGGGTATAACATATCAAAAACAAACTGACCCAGGAAAAATGCTCTGAATCACTAATAATTAGAGATACGAAAATGAAAACAACTCTGAGGTTCTATCACATGCTCATCATATTGGCAAAGCTGAAGAAAAGGGGAATGACAAATGCTGAAGGGGGTTTGGGAAAACAGGTACATTAATGCACTGTTGGAAGAATTGTGAAACGGTCCAGCCATTCTGGAAAGTAATTTGGAATATGATTCAAAAGTTACTAAACTGTGCACACATATCCTTTGACTTAATGATATTACTTCTAGGTCTATAAGCCAAAGAAAGCAAAGAGAGAGGAAAAGGACCAATATGAACAAAAATATTTATATCAGCACTTTTTACAGTGATGATGTAGAAACTGAGGGGATGCCCATAAATGGCTAAACAAACTAAAGTATATAAATGCGATGGAATACTGTTGTGTTGAAAGAAATGATGAAAGAGATGACTTCAGGGAAAAAAAAACCTGGGAAGACTTTGATGAACTGATACAGAGTAAAGTGAGCAGAACTAGGAGAATAATTCATACAGTAACAACTATACTGTAAAAAAATCCCAAAAAACTCAGCTTTTAAAGTTTTAAGAATCTGATAATCACCATGAACAACCACAATTCCAAAACGCTTATGATGAAACATGCTACCCACTCCCTGACAGGATACAGATTGAGACATACTTTTTTTGGGGGGGATACTGCCAAGGCCAGAATTAATTTTGCTTGACTATACATATTTGTTATGAGGGTTTTGTTTTTCATGATTTTTCTGTAGGGCATGAGGTAGGTGGAAAGAAGCTAGATTTGCATTATTTGAAAAAAAAAACCCAATAAATAAATAAATAAAAACAATAGAAAACTGCTTTTTACAGAGCATTATGCTGGGTATTGAGCCTTTAAGTACCTAATTTTGTGAAGCACTATGCTAAGTGCTGGGCCTTACATGCTTAATAAATGTATGCTGAAATAGACTGGGTTATTGTTCATTCCTTTGGGAGTCCCACTCCTGACTCTCAGGACTTTACTATGCCACAGAAGCCTCTGCAC